CGCGGGAGCGGGGTTTGGGCGGGATGGAGGGCGGCTGGGGTGGGGGGCTCTTCGGCGGTAACGCTGCCCTCGGTGTGTTGGAACAGGGCAGCCCCACAAGAGGCGGAGGACGTCTGAGCCGTCGGAGATCGAAGAGAGGCTCGAGTCACTCATCTGCAGGGTGGGAGAGAAGGTAGGCGGTCGCCTTCCGGCCAGGGCCGGGGCCTGGCGGCAGCTCAAGAAAGTTAAAACTATCATTCCGCCCCGCCCCGCTTCTGTGTGTTGTGTGTTAGCGGTTCGAGTATAGTAACCACCCAAAAAGAAACGATTTCTTTTTTCCCCGGTGAGGTAATTGAAAAATTGCCAGCTTTTGCAAAACGATGTGCGAAAACGGGCTTAAACGTTAGTGTTGTATCTCCCAAACAATGATGGACAGCCAGTGAAGAGTTATCACTTTGTGTCTGTAGGTGGTGTTGCTGGTTCTAGGCTGCCAGGGATGATGAGGAATTAACTTGGTGTGCTCTGTGGCACAGGCTTCAAGGCCTGACAGGATTTGAGGCTAATAGAAAGTGGGATAAAATGGTAAGAACAAAAATGATGGTGCAGTGAAAAAGAAATGAAAGTCGTTTATTTCATGCTGCATCGCTAATCAAGGCTCAGTCACCTTATCCTGAGGCAGCATTAGCTCCTGTATCCCAGGGGAGGAGATAGGTGCAGCTCTTCTGAGGAGTAGCTGCTCCTTCTTTCAGACAAGAGTGGTTCTTTACTGCTAACGGAACTGAATCGTTGCTCTGAAAAAGGAGGTGACATAAGAGGGTGCTCTTGCCCAACTTCCTCGTCTTCCACATGAGAGTCGGGGGCTGGTTCATATTGCCTGGTTGATGATCAAACTTTTTTTTTTTTTTTAATTTTAGAGTAATTCATCTTTGGAGAGCAACTTGGAGGGCCTAGCTGGTGTTTTGGAAGCTGATCTGCCAAATTACAAAAGCAAGATACTAAGAATACTATGTACTGTGTACGTATGCAGGAGGTCTGGGAATCTGGGAGGTGCTGTCTTCTCTGTGCATAAGTTTAAGTGGTTAAGGTAGTTCAGATGCCAAGAATGGCTTTAGTTCCTGAATGCTGTTACAGTGTAGAGTTTGTTTTACTGCAAACAAAATAAATAGAGAAATACGCTTGTTATGTACTAGGTATAATTCAGGAAAAACACCTCTTTTACATTACTTTGACATGAAATGTGTACAAAGGCTCAAAACAGAACAAACCTGAGCTGCACTCAGTAGCAATGAGAACACAGTGATGCTGGGCAATATCCTGTTTCCCAATGAAATCCTTAAGAGCACTGAAGCTATTGGCTGCTAACACTTATTTAGGCTTATTAATATCTGTGCTGTTTTCTCATTGCCTGCTCCTCTTCTTTGTCAGTGAGATGTTCCTGTCTTTGTAAGCCCATTCACTAGAGGAGGGAGCTGGGAACACGAAGAACTGAAAGCAGCCTCTCCAGTGGCTGACAGTTCTTCTTCCTCTCCCTAGCAAAGTGCAGGAGCAGAAGTGCCCTGTCTCCAGGTCACTGAGTGGTGTCTGAGGGAGGGGTTGTGCAGTGTAAGAGAAGTGTGAAGAAGGGGTGTGCTGAAGAGGGAGTGTTCGAGCCCTAGCCCCCTAGCCTGTGCTATGGTTTTAGATACTTAAATCTATTTTCTAGCAGTGATTGTTAATGTAAGACAAATAGTACTTTTTTTTTCCTATAGCAGCAAGACATTTCTGACAGTATGGGGTTAATTTATGTGCTATAAAAATGGCTGAGGAAAAAATAATTCTTTCCAGTAGGACCTGGCCTTCCCCATGCTGTGCTTAAAATCAGTTGGGATCAAAATTAATAGCATAAAATGTGTATGCCTTTTATGTAATCTTGCTGATGCTGTATCAAAATTATTTCTAAATTATTAATTTAACTGCTTACATCCTTGCATAAATTCTGTCACTTATTTGGCCACCTCTCTGGAATGCTCAGCAATTAAGCATAAATAAAAAGCCAATACCTTAAATGTACTCGAAAGTGGCACCTACATTTCTAAATTATGGTAGTTAAAAAAATAAAAGGTCCGTAAATATTAATCATGGGATAGGACTGTAAGATCACACTAGCACTTTTTTCTTCCTTTCTTGTAAGACAAGTTTAATTTACAATAAGTGGATTGTAAGATGCTCTGCAGTTGCCAGTTGGCACATGATGAATAAACAACTAACACCATGTTTCTTTTCCTGTGTCAGTGCACGTCTGTTACCAGAAAAACTTACTGTTTACACGACGCTAGTTGGGTTGCTGAATGCCAGAAACTACAATTTTGGTGGGGAATTTGTAGAAGCCATGATTCGTCAGCTTAAAGAATGTCTGAAAGTCAATATGTATAATGAAGCTGTGCATTTAGTAAGTTGGGTTTTGTTTGTTTTACATTATTCCTCATGGTTTTTCTTCCCTTCTTTCACCTTTTTGTTCCAGAAGAGTTGGGCTGTTCAGTGTGTGTTACAGTCTCTTGGCATCAGCATGCAGTGCACTGTAGATACACCAAGAGGAAATGTATGTTATTTGAAAAATGTTTTCTTCCTCAGGGGAGAGAAATCATATTACAGTTGCAAAATTGACTTCCAACTCTATTTTCCCAGTGAAAAATTAATTTGTAGTAAACAGAGGTGCTCCCCCACACCTCTTCTACAGTCAAATGTGAAAGAGAGATGAAAGTCATGCACTTTTATTGTGTTTGGAGGGGTATGATTTTTCTGTGGCTCCCGTGGGGGGT